AAAAATGGTTCCTGGAAAAAACTAAGCACTAACCAAGGGCCCTGAGTCAGAGGGAATTTCCAACAGACCGTCATTTATTCATTATCATTAAATATCGCTGGTTACTCTGGGACATTAAACTCTCAAGGAAGCATTTCAAGCAAATTCACATCAGCAGTGCCTCATTACTGGAAACTAATACATACGAAATATTCCAAATACAAATTGAAATCATGTGAATTAGAACATTAGCATCTAATAGGTGGTGAATTTTTAAAATCCACCAGAATTAACATAAAAAAGAGAAAGAACAGGCCAAGAATCATGCCTGAACAAATTAGATGCTTGTAAACATCATTAATTATTTTGGGCCACAGAGAAACTTAAAATACATGATATGGTAGTTTGTGGACAGTAATTCCTTCAATCCAGAATGCAGTGCACTTGCCCAGCAACATGTTGTACTGACTACTGGGCCTCTGACCTTCCCAGGAGGAGTCCAGGCAATCAAGGACTTGCACTTATGCACCGACCCTCCATTTCCTGTACATCATCAGCAAAGACACAACCCCTGGGCTGAACCGGAACCACCAGTCTAACTGGTGGACTACACTGTCTGTCAATTACAGGAAAACCTATCTTCATGACAGCCTGGCAGTGGGGCCCACCCCTCGTCCCCTGGGCCCTGGAGGTCAAAGGTCGTGATATGGAGTATACTGTTTAAACTGGCTTTCCAAGAAAAAGCCCTGGATGGTGGTATTTACCATCACTGCAGGCGGCCTGACATGTCTGCACGTGAGTTGGAGCAGACGTGCAGCAAAGCCCTCTACAGTGTTTCTAGCACACAGGCATGACAGATGTCAGGGTCTCAGCCTGGATAAGAGTGACAGTTAGGGCAGCAATTAGGAAGGGAGACATTTTGATTATTCAGTACCTTTGCATTTAATATCATTCACTACAAACTTAGTTACAATCTACACTTTAATGATGGTTGCACAAAATTCCTGCAAACTTGGTGATGCCGGCAACTGGAACAAGCCCTGTTCTCACACACCAGCATTTAGGTGCAGTGCTAACTTAACATCAATGATAACACCTAGAGGCAGCAATACCCCTCTTCCAAATGTCGTGTAGACAATAAGTCCCTCCACTTCTGTTGACCTTTCAAAGTATATTACACTGCAAAATCTCTAGAATGTTCTTTGGATCGAAGAGAGCTGATAACTTAGATAATACAGAACATTCACCTGCCTATCTTCGATGATATCACATGCTCTGTCCTGTTCCAAATGTGTGCCAGGCCCAGTGCTGGACATGAGGGCATGCATGGTGAATGCAAATGGGTTGGTCCTGCATTGCTCTTAAACTTACTTCATTCTAACTCACAGCTCAATGACTGCTTGACAATTCACACAGAACATGGATTGTGATGCAAACAGTGCTAAATATCATGGAAAAAATGTCATGCTTTGTCTATTTTACTACTACATACTCAGTGTCTAATACAGTAGCTAGTGTGTTTAAGGCACTCATTGAGAATCTAGCAAGTGAAAGAAGAAATGCATACAAGAAGTT